CCGGCGACGGGCCCTCCGCCTAATTGCCACCCTCACACCCCCTCACCCGTCTCCTCGGACCAAGCGGGGTTCCTCATGCTGCCTCCTATTGCTATTCGCTCTTCAATTATTTTCAAAGAATGCAAAAATTATCTAAAGAATTACCATGGCGTAGAAAGTGCGTTTGTGGTGTTACTGTAGGCTGATGTGTCAGCTACTTGTTTCAGTCTGTCTTGCGAAATGACCAGCACTAAGTTTTCGTCTTGTCAAAATATCCGTAGTGTGGAGTAAGTAAAACTCCAAACTTCTTACAGCAAATATGGATGGAGCTTATTTAGCGTCTGAAGGTGAATTCGGAGTCTTGTGGTTACCGATGTTCAAGTGAAACCCCGTTCAAATTGTACTTGCAATGTAGACCAAATAAAGCTTACATTAAGCCGGAATTCTTCGAAATGAAATAATGCTTCGAAAATGCCCTATAACTAAGGCACAATTGAAACTCTGCTGTAGCGATTAGTTAATTCGTTATAAAGTATCTAGAGGCAGTAAAATGGTATTTGTATTCCACGAAATAGTCAACATTTAGCAAGGCTATTGGCGTTTAGGTGTAAAAGAATGGTATGTAGACGTGAGGCTTAGAAACCAAATTAGCTTCTCATCTGCAGCTTAAAAAAGCAAAAATAACTTCGCGGCCATGAGACTGTTTCACGCAACACAGTCAGTAACTGCTGCCTGAAGATATTTCGCTTTTGTAAAAGACAGTCTCTCGTTTAAAGATTACGTGTAGAAAATATGTTTTTTTAGTAAAATGCTGCAAATGACATCTTTAATTTGTGATTTTGCGTATTAACTAACATTTGTCTCATTCTTACATAATTTACTTTAATTAGTTTCCTTAAAATAACTCGTGGGTATATGCCTAATTTCCTGTACCTGTTCACTCAAGTTTAAGTGAATGTTTTTGATTATATTGAAAAATCAAAAACACTGATAACGAAACCGCTCACTGGCATCTGCACGCATCCCAATTGAGCGAACCACATTTTAACTCAAACTAGCCGCAACAGAAACAGCCATTTTGGCATCAAGACGACTAACACGGCAAATGTTTGCTTCTCCACTTGCCCAAACCAAAATTCCCGATTTGGTTCTGACAAGCGTAAACCATGGGGCGATACGCCTTATCCATGTCAAAATTATTTTGTCAAGAAATTGGTCTATTACTGGTTAAAGGTGCAATCTGAAGTAAATAAATTTCAGCCACGGATTCAACCTCGATCTGATCACATTCCAACGCACAACAAAACGATGCAGAGAACGTTAAAGCAGTTAGTTATTCTGCGTTTACACGCCAAACCTCCACTGCAGTTCACTTGCAACGCCCGCAAAATTAACAGATTCCAAGCTACTGGCAGTGTTATGTTGAATCATCACTTGGTATTCGTGTAAATACCAAAAGTATCATCAATAATGCGTTGTTATGAAAGAGGCACACAAGAGAATAATCACTCATTCAACCTCAGATCGTTAAGAGGGCACTGTTATTGGAAAAGAAGTGAACACCGCAGCCACCAAAGTTGATTCAGGAAGGTGGTTATCCTGAACTTAGTTCACAACTTTGAAAATGGCTTTAATTCAACACCGTTCCGTTTCAGAAGATTCTTAAATTCCTCACTTTGCAGCATTGTTCTTTCATGATCCCTGTCGGGTGAACACGAAAATTCGTCTGGACCAATGGCAGCGCTGCAGCCCTGACTTAGCCAATCCGAATTCACTAAGGGGTATCCAGGGTGAGTCATCAACTCAACAGTAGCTGGACGATCAATGGCGGAGAA